GTTGGGGCTGTGACACCGCGCTGCCCCACAGCCGCAGCAGAGCAGCCATGAGCAGAGCTGGGCGCAGCGGGGCTGGGCAGGTGAGTGGGGGGGGGCACTGGGTGCTGGTTGGGCCCAATGGGTGCTGGTTGGGCCCAGTGGGTGCTGGTTGGGCCCAATGGGTGCTGGTTGGGCCCAGTGGGTGCTGGTTGGGCCCAGTGGGTGCTGGTTGGGCCCAGTGGGTGCTGGCTGTGCTTATTGGGTTCTGGCTGTTCCTGTTTGGGTTCTGGTTGTTCCCATTTGGGTTCCTGGCTGTTCCTGTTGGGCTCCGGCTGTTCCTGTTCCAGTTGTTCCCGTTTGGGTTCCAGTTGTTCCCGTTGGGTTCTGGTTGTTTGTTCCCATTTGGGTTCTGGCTGTTCCCATTTGGGTTCTGGCTGTTCCCATTTGGGTTCTGGCTGTTCCCGTTGGGTTCTGGCTGTTCTCATTTGGGTTCCAGTTGTTCCCATTGGGTTCTGGTTGTTTGTTCCCATTTGGGTTCCTGGCTGTTCTGTTCCGGCTGTTCCTATTTGGGTTCCGGCTGTTCCTTTTGGGTTCCACCTGTTCCCATTCTGGCTGTTCCCATTCCAGCTGTTCCTGTTTGGGCTCCGGCTGTTTGTTCCCATTGGGTTCCGGTTGTTTGTTCCTGTTGGGTTCTGGTTGTTCCTATTTGGGTTCCTGGTTGTTCCCGTTTGGGTTCCAGCTGTTCCTGTTGGGTTCCACCTGTTCCCATTCCAGCTGTTCCTGTTTGGGCTCCGGCTGTTTGTTCCCATTTGGGTTTTGGCTGTTTGTTCCCGTTTGGGTTCTGGCTGTTCCTGTTGGGTTCCCATTTGGGTTCCGGCCGTTCCCATTTGGGTTCTGACTGTTCCCGTGGGGTTCTGGCTGTTCCCATTGGTTTGTTGGGTTCCGGCTGTTCCCGTGTGGGTTCCGGCTGTTCCCGTGTGGGTTCCGCCTGTTTGTTCCCATTTGGGCTCCAGCCGTTCCCGTGGGGTTCTGGCTGTTCCCATGGGGTTCTGGCTGTTCCCATGGGGTTGTTGGGTTCTGGCTGTTCCCGTGGGGTTCTGGCTGTTCCCATTGGGTTGTTGGGTTCCGGCTGTTCCCGTGGGGTTCCTGTTGGGTTCCGGCTGTTTGTTCCCATGTGGGGTTCCGGCTGTTTGTTCCCATGTGGGGTTCCGGCTGTTCCTGTGGGGTTCCGGCTGTTCCTGTGGGGTTCTGGCTGTTCTCGTGGGGTTGTTGGGTTCCGGCTGTCCCGTTTGGGTTCCGGCTGTTCCCCTGGGGTTCCGGCTGTTCTCGTGGGGTTGTTGGGTTCCGGCTGTTCCCATTGGGTTCCGGCTGTTCCCGTGGGGTTCTAGCTGTTCCCCTGGGGTTCCGGCTGTTCTCATGGGGTTGTTGGGTTCCGGCTGTTCCCGTGGGGTTCCAGCTGTTCCCCTGGGGTTCCGGCTGTCCCGTTTGGGTTCCGGCTGTGCCGTTTGGGTTCCGGCCGTCCCGTTCTGTGCCCCGTGTCCACCTGCGCCCCGGCGCGTGGTTCTTTGTCCCCACAGCCGCCGGCCGCCGCCGAGCCCAGCGCTGCCGAGCTGGAGGCCGAGCTGCTGCAGCTGGGGGCGAAACCTGGCGGGAGGCGGGGGAGAGGTGAGGAGGGGGGGTGGGACCCAATACGACCCATAGGACCCCATTGCAACCCCCTCGGGGCCCCATAGGACTTCATAGGACCCCTTAGGTTCTGTAAGACCCCACGGGACCCCATAGAACCCGCTTAGGACCCCACGGAGCTCCCATGGGACGCTGTAGGACCCACGTTCCTTCCCATAGGGCCCCGCAGGACCCCATAGGACTCCAGTGGGACCCCATAGGACTCCAATGGGACCCCATAGGACTTCATAGGACCCCTTGGGACTCTGTAAGACCCCACGGGACCCCATAGAACCCGCTTAGGATCCCATGGAGCTCCCATGGGACGCTGTAGGACCCATGTTCCTTCCCATAGGGCCCCGCAGGACCCCATAAGACACCGTAAGACCTCACGGGACCCCATAGGACTCCAGCAGGACCCCGTAGGACACCCTAAGACCCCACGGGACCCCTTGGGACCCCATAGGACTCCAATGGGACCCCATAGGACCCCATAGGACCTCACAGGACTTCATGGGACCCCATAGGAGCATACAGGACTTTGTGGGACCCCATAAGTCCCCCACAGAACCCCATGGAACCCCATAGGACTCCCATGCAATCCTCTCAGGTCCCCATGGGGCCCCATAGGATCCTTTGGGACTCTGTAAGACCCCATGGGACCCCATAGAACCCCCTTAGAACCCCACGGAGCTCCCATGGGACCCTGTGGGTCTCCCATGGAACCCCCACACGTCCCATAGGTCCCCATAGGATCCCAAGGAATCCCCACAGGAACTCATGGGACCCCATAGGACCCAATGTGACCCCCATAGGACCCCCATGTGGCCCCCTTAGACTCCATGGGATCCCCATATGCCCCTATAGGACGCCATGGACCCCCTGTAGGACCCCATGGTGACCCATAAGACCCCACAGGACACCCATGGGACCCCATGGGACCCTCATATGCCCCTGTAGGATCCCATGGACCCCCGTAGGGCCCCATGGGGACCCATA